GAAGGAAATTGAGATCCAATTTTATGGGGAAAGATTTCCAAGTTTTTATAGTTTTCTTTTTTGTGGAGATTTGATATGTAAATAAGGTAGTTTTTATTTCCAATTATCAGTCTTTTAAAAAAATAAACTTAATTTTTAGGACAGTTTTAAATATACAGAAAAAATATATACAGTACAAGGAGTTTCCATCAATTCCATATCCAGTTTCCCTTATTAACATCATATTAGCATATGTGTAACATTTTTTTTACAGTTAATGAATCAGCATTGATCATCCCACCGTAGTTATTCATTGAGAAGTCACTCAAAGTTTTTTTTAAAAGGTAGGATTGCCTGCTGATTTTTAATAGTAGAAGTCTAGAAAATTACTGGATTGATATATCATCAAGACTTAGTTTTTTCTTTAATCAGCTTTACTGAGGTAGAAACTTACATATGGTAAATTCACATTTTATGTATACAGTTCAGGGAGTTTTCATAAAAGTGCATTGTCATATAACCAACACCACAGCCATGGTATAAAATATTTTCATCATCCCAAAAAAGTTCTTTTATGCTTCTTTCCATTTATTTTATTTTTATTTTTTAAAGATGTTTTATTTTTAAGTAATCTGTACACCCAGTGTAGGTCTTGAGATTACAACCCCTGAGATCCAGAGGCACGTGCTCTACCAGTTGAGCCAGCCAGGCGCCCCATGCTTTTTCCATTTAATCCCTTTCTCCAACCTCAGCACCTGGCAACCGCTGATCTGCTTTCTGTCACTGTAGATTTGCCATTCGTAGAATCATTCTAGTAGAACGATTCATATAGTACATGGGTTTTTGTGCCTGGTTTCTTTCACTTAGCGTAATGCTTTTGAGATATATTGTGCACGTAGGAATGAGGAACTCCTCCTCTTTTATTGCTGAGTAGTATTCCATCCTATGGACAAACTGTCATTTGTATCCATTTGGCACTCCATAGATATTTGTGTTGTTTCTGCCTATTGGCTATTATGAATAAAGGTGCTGTGAACATTTGTGTAGAGGTCTTTGTGCAGACATATGTTTCCATTGCTCTTGGATAAATGATAAAAACTGTATGCTAGGTTGTGTGGTAAGTGTATGTTTAACTTTAATAATAAACCCCCAAAACTAGCAAACTGTTTTCCTAAGTGGCTCTACATTTTGCACTCCCAACCAGCAGCATGTAAGGATTCCAGCTGCTCCACATCCTCACCAATTGGTATTACCAGTTTTTTGATTTTAGACATCCTAACAGGTGTGTAGTAATCCATCATTTTGATTTTAAGATTTTAATTTGCACTTCCCTAATGACTAATATTGATACTAAGTATCTTTTTATGTGCTTGTTTGCCATTCCAGTATCTTTTTTGGAAGTATCTGTTCAAATCTTTTGCCCACTTTTTATTGGGTAATCTTGTTGAGTTGTAGAGGAGTTATTTATATATATAAAGACTTACTCTTAAATTTCTAGATCAAAACAGCATTTATTTATTTATTTATTTATTTATTTATTTATTTATTTATTTATTTAAATGTTATTTTTGAGAGAGAGACAGAGTGCAAGCGGGGGAGGAACAGAGAGAGAGGGAGACACAGAATCTGTGAAGCAGGCTCCAGGCTCGGAGCTGTCAGCACATAGCCCAATGCGACGCTCGAACCCAGGAACTGTGAGATCATGACCTGAGCTGAAGTTGGACGCCCAACCGACTGAGCCACCCAGGCGCCCCAGCATATGTTTATTTTCAGTGTATAAGTGAATATAATGAAAAGCTCTTAAGGACTGGCCTCGCACTTAACTGGAATGTACATGGCTGTTTTGTATGTGTCAGGAACTAAAGAATCAATCTAGTAGAAATATAAAGTAGTTTTTATGTGCCACCCCCTTTGCCCAAGTTACATGAACCCATTTATCCAAATATGTTCTAGTGAATGTTGAGGTTTTGTTTGTTTGCTTTTTAAATTAAGAAAAATAAAATCTTTGAAGTGGTAGTTGTTGGTCAGCATTCTGCCGCTGTGAAAACCCATCTTATGGCTGTGTTTCAGGTGTTTATTTAAATTATACCTATCCGTTCCAAACAGTATGTCTCGTCTTCCTTCTACACTCTGTGGGGGCCGACCAACTGCCAAATAAACTTTTAGAGACTTTGGAGACCCATTCAAAAGCCGAGAAAAATAAATATTAGCTCATGGTCACATGAGACTCAAATATCACATTAATTGTAAAAGGAGGAAGTGTGGCTTATTTTACACTGTGATTGGTTAAAAGTCAATGGCATTTTCATGTATATGTGTGTACTCCTCTGGCCATATAAAACACTTGAGTAAAATTAGAAATAGTGCCATTAATTATTGGACTGTGTGTCCTGTCATCTCTTTTGACAGACTGTAGATCACATTTCAATTATAAATCATTTCTCTTTTATTTATTTTTGAGAGAGATAGAGTGTGAGTGGGGAGGGGTAGAGAGAGAGGGAGACACAGAATCTGAAGCAGGCTCCAGGCTAAGCTGTCAGCACAGAGCCTGATATTGGGAAACCTGTGAACTCATGACTGCTGAGATCTTGAAGCCTAGGCCAGGATTGCCCAGAATCCAACCGACTAACAAGCAAACCATTAAAGCACCCTGATATAATTTCCTTCTTAGGTAAATTTTTTTCTGTGGGCATCTCTAAAATCTACACACACACACCCCCTAGCAGCTGTGGATTTTATTCTTTTTCCATTATTTGATCCCCAGGTTGTTTTTTTTTTTTTAACATTTTATTTTTATGTATTTTGAGGGAGGGAGAGAGAGTCTGTGCTGTCAGCACAAGAGCCTGATGTGGGGCTTGAAACCACAAACCATGAGATCATGACCTGAGCCGAAGTCAAGAGTTGGATGCTTAACCAAGGTGCCCCTTGATCCCCAGTTTTAAATGGACTGAGCAACCTGCCATAGGCTTACTATTTCAAAGAGGGAAATGAGCTCCCCCAGAAAATGTCAGAAAGGTTGCAGTTCAAAACCATTTTTTAGGAGGTTATGAAGTCTCACTGAATTATGGTCCCTCCTTTGGCCCCATTCCATGAGGAATGAGAAGTATTTAAAAGATGTCGGAGGAAGAGAGACAGTGCAATTTGTGAGGAAAGAAATTCAAGTCTGTGTAACTTTTTTCCTTTTTGTAACTCAACACCTTAGCAGCCTGGGATTCAGAGTCTTAGATTATGCTGTTGTTTCATTCCTTTCCCCCAGAGAGATAATAGTTAACTCACAGGGAATTCTGTTTTTAAGAGTTTGAATCACTTGATTGAGTTAATAGTAAACACAGTGAGTCTGCCTGCTTCTTTGCTATTCCTTCTATCCTCTAAATTTACTAAATTTAACATCATGTTTCACCGATCCATTTGATTCTTCAAACGAAACAATCAGGTACAGTCTTTTAAAGTTCACGTGCCTGAGATGTTATAATCATGTCTGACTGTGACAGATGTGAGACAGTGGGTTATATTTTGCTGTTTTCTTGTCAGTGCTGTCATTTCTTATGGGGAAAAACAGGTAATTGAAAAATGCATCTTTAGAAGAAATATGTTCTTTGGGCATCTGGGTGGCTCAGTCGCTTAAGCATCTGACTTCAGCTCAGATCATGATCTCTTCGTTCACACATCTGGAGCCTGTTTCAGACTCTGTGTCTTCCTCTTTCTCTGCCCCTCCCTGCTTGTGCTCACTTTCTGTCTCAAAAATGAATAAACGTTAATTTTTTTTCAAAAAAAGAAGAAATATGTTCTTAAACCCCCAAAGAATTTTTTTTTCATAAAATTAAAAAAAAGAAGGCCTGAAACTTTAGTTTTCCTTTCAAATATTGGCTCTTCATAGCCCCTTATAATGTTTTCATTAACTTAAAATGCTAGGTGAAATGAATAGAACTAGTTCTCTAGGAAACCTCAGCAGTTAGAATAGAGCAAAAGCATAACCTTATAGATGTTACTGAATTTTTACATGTACTTAATATTTGTTCTTTCCCTAAAACAATTGATGGGGCTGCCGGCTGAGCCTAGAAATTGGCTCAGAAAAAGTGGAAGCAGGGAACTCGATTGTGTAATTGTGAGAATAAATTTGTACACATGCCTGGAAGACTACAATTTGATAAAATAAAGGGTCATCCAGTATGATCGGGGCCTGACTTCCATGCAGAAATAGTGGCAGCAGAGACCTCGAAGTCTTTGTAGTTCTGGGTGAGCATCCTACTTAAGGTATCAGGGTCTAAATATGCTCCGTTGACTTAAAATCACTGTCTGTTCTCTTTTGAAAAGCTGAGCATTCGTTTTGCCTTAGTGTCTTGCCATCCCTCTGAAGAACAGAAGGCACGTTATAAAACCAGACAGTTCCCCTTGCATTCTATGAGGTAGGTAGAGTGTGTTACAGTAAGTACTTTCTTAGAACTTTGAACCTTAATTCAACCCCCTCCCCCCCCACCCCCCGTCCAATAAAAAAGTGATTTGCAGTGTTCTATTTCTGTGTGTCTTGCTGTTGGGTTGGAGATGATATTATGCTGTTGTCATATCCTACCTTTATTGTTAGGCATGTGGTGGGTTGAGACAATTTGGCAGGTACAGTTTTGTAGTGTGGGTGGATCTTTCCCTGAAGCTCTTTGGTATTAACTTGATTCTTGCAGAACATTTCTCTTAGACAAGGTATTGAGTGGGCTTCCAAACGTCCAAGGAATCCACATCCTCAAATACCCATGAGAGAACTTCTGAGTACTGAATTAAAAATGAGGTGCCACAGGAGAACGGACGCTGCAGAACAGGAAGTGCTGATGTGAAACCTTTTTTTTTTTTTTTTTTTTTTAATTGAAACCTTTTGTTGAGCTCACAGATTTGGGTTCTTTAAACTGTGTTTTTATGAATACATGCCGTGGGAAGGGAAGCATGACTGACCACATTGATTTGAGTTTGAGGAATTCTTCATTTCCAGGTAGTAAAATGCTGTTTCTCATCTCTGACTCTTCTTGGATTACAGCAAAATGGATATCTCAAACCCCCCAACTTCCAAATGTATCACTTACTGGAAAAGAAAAGTTAAATCTGAATACATGCGACTCCGACAACTGAAGCGGCTTCAGGCAAATATGGGCGCGAAGGTAAAAACTAACTCCCGTGTGATGAGTTATCTATTTTAATATATTGATCTAATGTAGAAGGTTGGGCTTTGAAAATTTTTTTTTTAATGTTTATTTATTTTTTGAGAGAGAGAGAGAGAGAGAGACAGAGGTGAGTGGGGGAGGGGCAGAGAAAGAGACACACGGAACTCAAAGCAGGCTACAGGCTCCACACTGTCAGTGCAGAGTCTAACACAGGGCTTGGACTCACAAACTGTGAGACCATGACCTAAGCCAAAGTCCAATGCTTAACTGACTGAGCCACCCAGGTGCCCTAGGCTGGGCTCTTCTCTTAAAATTCTAACCATTGTTCCCTTGGCTTTTCCAGGCTCTATATGTAGCAAATTTTGCAAAGGTTCAAGAAAAAACCCAGATCCTCAATGAAGAATGGAAGAAGCTTCGTGTCCAACCTGTGCAGTTGATGAAGCCTGTGAGTGGGCATCCTTTTCTCAAAAAGGTACTTCCAGGTGTCTAAGCTCAGCCTTCCTTGTTTCCTTGGACTTAAGTTGTTTGTTTGTTGTTGTTTTTCTGTATTTATGACTTATTAGAAAATAAGGATAATGGATATAGTTATTATAGTCAATTTTGAATAACTGGGGTGGTAAATCTGTAGCTTAAAGAATAGCCTATTCACCTATTATTCTCCTCAGTTAGTGGGTATAATCATGAGGGTTTTAAGATTTTATTTTTAAGTAATCTCTCCACCCTACATGGGCCTTGAACTCACAACCCCGGAGATCAAGAATTGTACACTTTTCCAAGTGAGCCAGCCGGGCCCCCCTGAGTGTTTTTTGTTTTTCAATATTTATCTTTGAGAGAGTGCAAGCAGGGGAGGGGTAGAGAGAGGGGGACAGAGGATCCGAAGTGAGCTCTGCACTGACAGGCTGACAGCAGAGGACCTGATGTGGGGCTGGCTCGAACTCACGAACTGTGTGAGATCATGAACTGAGCCACCCAAGTGCCCCTTTTGATTTTTTTTTTTTTTTTAACAGAAAAATGAAACAGTTAGTGTCTACTTTACTAGGCTCTGTGTACGAGCTTCAAAACAACCCTGTCTATGCCTTGTTTGGCACCTCGGTGCTTTGATATTGGAAAGAGAGGACCCAGGATAATGAGCAGGAATATATTGATCAAAGGAATGTTCCTTGTTATAAATCTAAACATCATTCTAGTCTTAAAGAGATAATATTTTAAAAAATAAATTTATCTCTCTTTTTAAGTTTATTTGTTTATTTTGAGAGAGAAGAAGAGAAATAATGTACGTGCGTGCATGAGCAGGGGAGACACAGAGGACAGAGAGCGGGAGAGAGAGAGACCCAAACAGCCTCTACTGTCAGGAAGGAGCCCAGCTCAGGGCTTGAACTCACGAACCATGAGATCATGACCTGAGCTGAAATCAAGAGTCAGATACTTAACCGACTGAGCCACCCAGGTGCCCCTAAGAGATAATTTTTTTTTTTAATGTTTTTATTTATTTTTGAGACAGAGAGAGACAAAGCATGAGCGGGGAAGGGGCAGAGAGAGAGGGAGACACAGAATCTGAAGCAGCCTCCAGGCTCTGAGCTGTCAGCACAGAGCCTGACATGGAGCTCGAACTCACAGACTGTGAGATCATGACCTGAGCAGAAGTCGGACACTTAACCAACTGAGCCACCCAGGCACCCCGAGATAATATTTTTAAGATGTAAAAAGTGGATAGTATATTGAGCAATTTTCTTCTCCAAAGCAGAATATGACTCTAATTTCTGTACTGCTTTGCTTTCCTCCTACTGTCTCCATCACCTCTGCAGCTAAGTTGAGGCCAACTGTCTTAAAGTGTAGGTACTCAGGAAAACTTCCTCATCTCCTAGGACTTTCAGAGGCCTTTTGCTGTTGTGGACAGTCCAAGGAGAGCAGCAATTTTACATTGAAATAAACACCAGTTGGGTGTGAGAGGCACCATGCTGGCGTCTGTAGATGATACAAAGGTGAATAAGAGACAGTTTCCACAGCTTTACAATCCAGTGGTTCCTTTTTTAGGAGCTGATTGTTGCAAAATCCTCAACCTATTAATTTGTAAGAATTAGAAGGCTATTGGGACCATTTTAGAAGGAAACTACAGTTCTCTTTTTAATTTTTTTAAATTAAAAAATTTTTTAAGTTTATTTATTTTGAGAGAGAGAGAGAGAGTGAGAGTATAAGTGGGAGAGGAGCAGAGAGAGAGGGAGAGAGAGAATCCCAAGCAGCCTCCACATTGTCAGCACAGAGTCAGACAAGGGGCTCAGTCCCACAAACCATTGAGGTCATGACCTGAGCCCATGAGAGAAGCCCAAGCAGGCTCCACACTGTTGGCACAGAGCCCAATGCTTGATCCCAGTTGGACACTTAACTGACTGAGCCACCTAGGTGCCCCACTCCAGTTCTCTCTGGTCATGTGCTTGCCTTTCCCTCCCCATGTCTTTGCTTATATTTCAGTGTACCATAGAGAGCATTTTCCCAGGATTTGCAAGCCAACATATGTTAATGAGGTCTCTGAACACAGTTGCCTTGGTTCCCATCATGTATTCCTGGTCCCCTCTCCAGCAGAACTTTATGGTATGTATTAAAAGCACTGTGGTGATTGTATAAACTGTATGATTATCCTGTGTTGGTGTGCTGGCACTCCTCTTAGGGTAAAGATTATCAGATTGTACTTAACAAAGCTTGGGCATGCAGGACAGACTGTTTTTTAATTTATTTACTCTCTATACACACACACAGACACACACACACACACACGTACATATAGCACACGTTATTCTAACTCATTAGGTTTTGTGCTCTCTGAAGTGTCCTTCTGAGTTGATGCTAGATTTTTTTGTTTTTTTTGTTTTTGTCTTTTTTAAGATTTATTTATTTTGAGAGAGAGAGAGAGAGAGAGAGACAGAGACAGAGCATGTGAGCCAGGGAGGGGCAAAGAGAGAGGAGAGAGAATCCCAAGCAGCCTCCACATTGTCAGCAGAGTGAGACAAGGGGCTCAATCCCACAAACCATTGAGGTCATGACCTGAGCCGAGATCAAGAGTTGGACACTTAATCAACTGAGCCACCCAGGCACTCCAATGCTTATTCTTTTTTGAATGAATGAGACTGGGCAAGACTCCAATTTTCCCTTACTACTTTGGCCCAGTTTTGTAACATGTGAAGTTATATGCAGTCTAAATCAGACACTTGAGGCTTAAGCAGGTTGACATCTCCCTGCTGATGGAGCGATCCTTTCTGAACCCCCTAAAGGCAAGATGCTGTGAAAGCAACTGAAATAATAGAGGGGCACATGGATTCAAGAGCCTTACATCTGGGCCTTTATGCTGACTCCTGCTCGGGTTAGTTTTGGTTCTGATAATCAGTCCTGTCTAAATACTGGCATTGCTTATCATCTGCCTGGTGACAGCAGGAATAGGATATAGGTTTACAGAAGGGAATCCTCTCTTAGAATAAAACTTCACAGTAATTTTACTTACTACTTGGGGAATTAAGAATGGCTATGTTTTCTGCTGAACAACAACAATAACAAAAATCCATTAGTATTTTCTTTAGCCAGGAAATATTCATAGCTCATACTGCAGTTGACTTTAGGTTCCCATCGAGTGTGATCGACCTGAGTTGTAATCATAATTTTTTATTATGATTATGGGAGTTTAGTCCTAGTATGTATAAGAGACTACCCAGAAACTCTATGGTTGCTCAGGTTCTGTTCTGAATATTCTGGTTATATTGCAGATTATACTCTTGGAAGCCTTCCTTTTCATTTATGTATCTCTACTTATGATAAGAATTAGAATTGAAGACTTTTTAGACTATTGTTTAAGTGATATTTGTACCTATTTTACAATGATGTTTTGTAGATAATAGATGGAATCACTGTGAAAGATAAATGTGCTGGCAAATTCTAAATGTTGTTGCAAATATCATTGTCAGTACTAGGCTAAACATTTGGTAGTTAATATCCTTAAGTAGTTAAACTGACTTTTTTCCCTAAGAGTAGCATTGCCCCTTCCGTTTGAAGTTTTGTTGGCAACACAGAATGGCCAGTCTTTAAAAATGCAGGAAACTCTGTAACCAAAGGTGTTTTCAGGAAATTCAAGCATCAAAAAAGGCCCAGCAAAGATTCTATTAAACAGGAAAGAGGAGCTGCCTAGTGAATTCATGGAATGAATCACATCTGGTTTGATTTCAGGTAGAAGATGAGACAGTTTTGTGCAATATTCCCTACATGGGAGATGAGGTGAAAGAAGAAGATGAGACTTTCATTGAGGAGCTCATCAATAACTATGATGGGAAAGTCCACGGTGAAGAAGGTAGTGGTACTGGGCTCTTTGGGAGAAAACTTTATTAAAATGGTGCCCCTTCTTTGGTACATCATCATCTTGCTTTTATTTGCTACCTCACGGTGTACACACTGAAGAATATTTCGATTGCTGGGACTAAAAATTTTATATTAAAAATGTGCCCAGTTACATTGTAAAAGGAGTTGCGACATAAAAGGATTTTATATATGTAGTAATCAGTGGCTGAGGAGATAGTGTAGTGCACAGAGAAGTATGATCTTAGGAGTTTTCCATAAATCCATCCAAAGCCATTTTGTTCTTCATTTCTCTTTCTCTGAGAATGGCAGTGAGCATAATCTCTCTGTCCTACTTTGATCCAGATATATCCTAGATCTCCCAGAAATTGTAACATTCTGACTTTCCAGCTCTTTTGACAGTTGTGGGTACTGTTGAAAATGCATTATTTATCTACTGCGCCCCCTAGTGTTCAAAGACTTTATCCTAAGTTGTTAGTGTAACCCCACAGAGTATGATTTTAAGAAGATAATGCTGTCTTTTGACTCAAAGACGTCACTGGCAACCCATCAGCAGCAAAACCAAGTAAATTTTCATGTTATCATTCTTTTCCTGTCCCACTTGTATTGCTTGTACACCTTTGTGAGATTTTGGACCATAAATACAGGTTGATCTGTGACTGAGGAAGTGAACTATCCCAGTTAGAGTAAAGCCTATATAACTGGATTTCCCACTCTAGCCAGCTTGATTGTTGCAGCTGTAAGAGCCAATCAAAGTATTGTAATTTCCTGACTGTTCATATAAAAATGTACCTACGTTATATAACGTAAGTTGTACTTCAGGAGTGAATACGAGAAAACCTTCCTAGGAGGACTAAGGGAACATGAAATGACCACAGCTCAGCCATCTAATCTTTATGTTTTAGAGATGATCCCTGGATCTGTTCTGATTAGTGATGCTGTTTTCCTGGAGTTAGTAGATGCTCTGAATCAATACTCAGATGAAGAGGAGGAAGGGCACAATGACACCTCAGATGGGAAGCAAGATGACAGCAAAGAAGATCTGCCAGTGACAAGAAAGAGAAAACGACACGCTCTTGAAGGTAAATATTCCATTCTGAAAGTGACAGGGAGAGGGAAAAAGGGAGAAACAGAAAGGTTTGTTGATTATTAAAGGCTGCTGGTGCTTCTCACTTGGTTCACTCTGAAGGAAACAGAGTAGTGTGTTTGGGAGACATGGAAAATTAGAAAGAAGAAAATATAATTATCCTATAATTTTAGTACCTAGGAATAACCGGCATTAATGTTTTCTTCTAGATCTAAAAAATGTGTGTGTGTGTGTATGTGTGTGTGTGTGTATCCACACACACACACACACACACAGAATATACACATACACATACCTAAAACGAATATAACGTTGTATGTCAACTGTGTCTCAAGTTTTTAAAAGTACATATATAATAAAAAAAAGTACACATACAAAACAACGTGTTTTATATGCATTATGTGAAATGGGATCATGCCACAGATACACACACATACACAATTTTACATCCCTTTTTATTTGATCTTCTCTCATAAGCATTTTTCCATGTTGTTAATATTTAATTAACTTAATGTTTAATTATGTGCCATGGTACTTACTTATACTATACGTCCAGAGACATAGTGTCTCTGTCTTGTTACAACAAAGCTGTAACATCAGTCTTGTTCTTCAGCCTCATCATTATGATGGCATTCTTCAATATCCACATCTCTCCATGAAAACTCCTGTTTTCTCCTCTAGATTCTCTCTTGGAACATGGATTTTGTCATTAATGTATAGATGACGCTGATTTCCTTATTACTGGCAACCTATTAGATAAACCCAGGTAGCATTGACTTTCTTTATGTGTTCCTAAACAGTCAGCGGTTGGGTTAGCAAAGCAGCTGTAATCAAAATGCTGTGACAGAGGGAAAATGACCAAACAGCTTTGTTTGCATCCTTGATTATAGCTCAGGAGCTCTTTGTCATTTCCAACTCAGGCAACAAAAAGAGTTCCAAGAAACAGTTCCCAAACGACATGATCTTCAGTGCAATTGCCTCGATGTTCCCTGAGAACGGTGTCCCGGATGACATGAAGGAGAGGTAGGGAAGCCCGTTCCACTCAGGCCATGTAGAGCGCTCAAGCAAACTTTTATTCAAGCCTAAATTTGGTTAATAAAAAACCTTGTTTCTGGTAAGTGTCCTATGATTTGCTCACACTTATGATTGTTTCCTACTTCATTTGCTTACCTCTAAATACCCGTTCCCATATTAAAGGGCATTGTTCATTGGCTTTGAAGTAATTTCGGGCAGCGAACTTCTAAAATTCTGCATTTTTCTGGAGAGTTACTCCAGCACCATACTTTCCAAATCTATCTCTCTCTTTGCTTGCAGACATGTGCCCAGCCCAGCACAGGTGCAGTGGTGCACCCACTTAGGTATACGCCACCCTGCCATCAGCAAGCCCCGTAAAAAAGCACCCATGCTCCCTTGGCCGACCGTACCTGGATGACTGTCAGTGCGCGATCTGTACTTTCTCAGTGAAGACGTTTCCTTGGAAGGAATTCTTCTCTCTCTTTTTAAAAATAGGTACCGGGAGCTGACGGAGATGTCAGACCCCAATGCGCTTCCCCCTCAGTGCACACCCAACATCGACGGCCCCAACGCCAAGTCCGTGCAGCGGGAGCAGTCTCTGCACTCCTTCCACACACTTTTTTGCCGACGCTGCTTCAAATACGACTGCTTCCTTCACCGTGAGTGGGGCTACTCTGAAATACTCTCCTGTTCTCCATCCCCAGCCACTGCATCCTTCTGTTTATTTTAGTTAATCATACAGAGTTCCTGGCTTCTGACCTGACGCTGGTTTTACAAAGGGCGGGTTCTCTATTCACTTGTACCGTTGCGGTGCAATGTGTTTCGCACGGTCAGGACAGAATAACCAGCAACATACGAGTCCCTGAGCACCTGTTAGCTTTGAAAGGGTTGTGTTGATGTCAGATATGATTAAATTTTGCACACCTTGATGGTAGCTGTTTATATCTAAATTTTCCCACCATGGCTCCTTAATTGGATTTTGTTCTTCCCCATCCTGCCAAGTGGATGAACCATTGGAAACAGGACAGTTTTGTGTTTTCCAGCTTTTCACGCCACCCCTAATGTATATAAACGCAAGAACAAAGAGATCAAGATTGAACCAGAACCATGTGGCACAGACTGCTTCCTTTTGCTGGTATGTTCTTTTTTTTTTTTTTTTTAAGTTTTATTTATTTAACTAATCTCTACATCCAACCTGGCACTCCAACTCATGACCCTTAGATCAAGAGTTGACGCTCCGCCAACTGAACCAGCCAGTCACTCCTTGCTGATATGTTCTTAAACTGTTCTGCCATTGTTAAATCTGTTGAAAATTGAGCAGGAAATGGCCCTTCAGTTTTCTGCTCCTGGGAATACAAACCAGATGAGCCAGTATGTAGCACTCTGGGGGGTCACAAAGCACAAATAAAACAGGACTTCTGCTCTTAAGGAGCTCCCAAATACTAAGGACTATGAAATTAGTCTCGTGGCGTGAGGAGGGCATGTGTGTATCTGTAATGGCATTTTCTTTGCTGTCTTCTTTTAAATGCATAGAAACATACAAGAAATAACACATGAAAGCACCCATGTCTTATTGTAAGGTAAACAGCCAGATGGGCCCTTCCCTGATGGACAGACTTTATGCGGCAGCATAAATTCTCCTGCATTCGTGTGGGAAGGCACTACACTTAGAACGAGAAGGGAATAGGTTCACTTGGACCAGCCAAAGACACAGTTTTGCTTTCTGCACACTACAGTGAGCTTAGGTAAAGAATAAAATACCTTGATTTCTGCTACCAATTAAAAATAGGTTATAGAGCCAAGTGCCTTTGGGACCATCTTTAGTGGGATAATAGAAGAAAAGATGGTAAAAAGTGCCACTGGGTATACATCTGGAAAATGAGCCATGTGATAATAGCAAAAGAGTGAACAGACTTTCTCTACTTTTTCCCCCATATGGGTCGACTCCTTACTGTGTGCCAAGTAGCATGCTGGCCCTTAACGTATATTATCTTACATTCTTGCTTACGACAACATCCTGAGGTGGAGAAGCTATGGGTTATAGAAGCTACATATTTTGTCCAAGATTTGTTAATGTCAGTGGTTTGGCGGTAATGAAATTCAAGCTCTGGTCTAGCTCCAGAGTCCATACTTTTTAAGTTATTCCACACTTAAAAAAATTACACTGTGTTATATCAACACCAGCATTTATTTTTTTATTCTTATATATATTTTTTTAAAGAGCGTTTTTTTTTTTTTTTCTTTAATGTTTACTTATTTTTGAGAGAGAGAGAGACAGAGTGTGAGTGGGGGCGGGGCAGAGAAGGAGACACAGAATCCAAAGCAGGCTCCAGGCTCTGAGCTGTCAGCACAGAGCCTGACGGGGTGCTCGAAACACAAACCGTGAGATCATGACCTAAGCCGAAGATGGACGCTTAACCTACTGAGACACCCAGGTGCCCCTTATTTTTATTTACTTTTTACTGTTTATTTTTTTGAGAGAGAGAGACACACAGAGTGCAAGCAGGGGCAGGGCAGAGAGAGGGAAACACAGAATCCAAAGCAGGCTCCAGGCTGTCAGCACAGAGCCCAATGTGGGGCTCAAACCCACGAACCTTGAGATCGTGACCTGAGCTGAAGACTGAGCCGCCCAGACGCCCCAACACCAGCATTTATATAAGTAAAAAGACGTTGTCTTTCTCACAGCAATTACCCTGAGACCCTGTACATGTTTCAAAAGATGCTGTCAGTGCCCAAAATGTATGTCTATGTGTGTGTGTTTAACTTACAGAACTGTCTGTGTACAGTTTTTCTTTTATTGCTTTTTAGAAATCAGTGCATTTTTCAAATATAATGCTGGACTGTTTTTCCCTCAATCTCGATCATGGAAGGAAGGTGAAAGATACCTTCTTAGATTTAATGATGGTTTTTCCATATTTGCTTCGTCTCTCTATTTGTATATGCATATCTTTTGCTGAGCAATTTGAAAATAAGTTGCAGACATTGAGATACTTGTTTGCTAAGTATTTCAGCATGCACTTCCTAAAAATACAGACATTCTCTTATATAACCACATTATTACACCTAAAAAAAATTCAGAGAATTTAATAATATCATCTGTCAGTTCCATATTTAAATTTTTTCAGCTGTTACAAGAGTAGCTGGGTTTGGTTTTTGTTTTTTTTTTTTTAACCAAGGTCATCCAGTCATACATCATATTTGATTATTATGTCTTTTCAGTCTCCTTTAATGTCAAGTAATCACACCATTTTTTTTTTCCTTTTTGAAAAATCCAGGCTCATTGTCTAGTAGGATACTGTCCCAAATTCTGAATTTGTGGTTTTCTTCTGGTGTTACTGAACTTGTTTTTGTATCCTCTATTTCCCATGAACTAGAATTAGCTCTGGAGCCTTAGTTATATTTATGTTAAATCTTTTGATCACGAATACATTGTAAGTGATGCTGTGTACGTCACATTGTAGGATGAGCACATTCAGTTAATTTTAAAACTTCACTTTTGGAATTTCCTTTAGGGCCTACAGGATATTAGTCTGAATATCCTTAGTAATGGCAAATCTTTATCCTTTGCACGTAGATTTAGTTTTCAGAAACAGCTAGAAGTGTTTGGGAACCAGGTCTGGTGAGAAGTAGATGATCAAGTTGTGTGATAGTTATTGGGTCTTTTTTTTTTTTTTTAAATAAAGCATAGCTATAAAATAATGAAGCAGTATTCTTCCAAGTCTAATAAACTGATTTGGGAGAAGTAAGTAGTGATATTGGACAAATTTAGGGACTACATATTTTATTATTGAAACAGAAGCAGTGCAAGTAGAATGAAAAAAACAGTGTGGCCAGGGGATGGGGAGCCCTCATTCTGTACCCATTCTGGAACAGTTAGCTACATATGCTCAAGCAGGTCCCTTCCTCTCTGAACCTCATTTCCTCTTCCACAGGAGAATGTGTTCTCAAATTCCAAATAGCTAACATGCAAATGAGTTTTAGACCCAACTCACTGGAAAGTTGAAGATGCACAGATTATATCTGTTTTAATATTACTTTACAAGGCAGCTCTTCTGTGAAGAGGTATAAATTTGTAAGTTTTAGAATGCGGGTTAAGCAGCTTTTACATAGTCACACTTACATAGCACAGAGCAAAACATAGACAGTGTCATTGCATGTAAGCACAGGCGTTGAAGAAGGGGGTTTGTAATGATGGGATCAATATGGCGACCCTGGGCCTGTTCCTGTCTCCCACCTGTAACGTGTACATTGCAGGAAGGAGCGAAGGAGTACGCCATGCTCCACAACCCTCGCTCTAAGTGCTCCGGGCGTCGCCGACGAAGGCACCACATGGTCAGTGCTTCCTGCTCCAACACTTCAGCCTCTGCTGTGGCTGAGACTAAAGAAGGGGACAGTGACAGGGATACAGGCAATGACTGGGCCTCCAGTTCTTCAGGTACACTGAACAGAAAGCGATCCTTTCTTCCTATGCAAGGCCTCTGGGAAACGCAGGATCACTGCCTAACACTTAACGTTACTACTTTTTTAACATGGTTAGTTCTTCCTTTTTTTTTTTTTTTTAAAGTTTATTTATTTATTTTGAGAGAGAGGTGGGGAGGGGCAGAGAGAGAGAGAGAGAGAGAGAAAGAGAGAATCCCAAACAGGCTCCATGCTCTCAGTGCAGAGCCTGATGCAGGGCTTGAACTCTTGCACCATGAGATAATGACCTGAACCGAAATTAAGGGTCGGGCACTTAACCAGTTGAGCCACCCAGGCACCCCTAAAGATGGTTAGTCCTTTCTATGGCTTCGCCTGTTGGCAGTAGAGACAGGGAATATTTTGATTCCTAACTATTCTGCCATTTAAAGCAGAATGATGTACTTCGGAGTATATGGCAAATGACTGATGACAACTGCATTCTCTCTCCTCCTGTTGCTCGCATCTCCTCCTCTCTTAGAGGCCAACTCTCGCTGCCAGACCCCCACAAAGCAGAAGGCTAGTCCGGCCCCCCCTCAGCTCTGTGTAGTGGAAGCACCCTCGGAGCCTGTGGAATGGACTGGGGCTGAGGAATCTCTCTTTCGAGTGTTTCATGGCACCTACTTCAACAACTTCTGTTCCATAGCCAGACTTCTGGGAACTAAGACATGCAAGCAGGTACTCTTGGAGAGGAGCTGGGACAGGCAGGGCCCTCCTTTCATCCACTGCTCTGTCAGCCCTTTTGCCATCTTGTGTGGCCTGTCTCAAAAGGAGCTGTCTTAGGCTCAGTCCCTCATGAGCAGGTGCTTCTGAGCCACGAGGCGGGTTCCCCAAACATGGGACTGTTTCTGCAGACTGTTTCTGCAGATCCCAGGCCTAGCCGTGCTTGGGGAATCTGGTCTCCTCCTTGCCGAATTGTCATTTCTGTCTCTAGCCACTATCTGACTCTTCTGGGTGTTTCTGCCCTCTCTTAGCTTTTTGTTGTTGTTGTTGTTGTTGTTGTTTGTTTGTTTCTGGTTCCTGCCTTTCTTTCTAAATGTATACCCCTTTCCTAAAGGGACCCCCAGGTCTTTCTGGGGATCTTCTCATCTGGCCTGCTCCTGCTTCTGTAGCTGCCGCGGTCACCCCCTCTGTCAGTCTCCTCGGTTGCTTTCTTCTCCAGATGTTCTATCGCTAGCTTTTCTAATTGCCACCCCCAGTAGCTGGGCCTGGACCTCACCCTTCTCACTCATGCCGTTACTAGAATCACAATTTGATAGCAGCCACTGATGCTTGGAGGCCGTGGGACCTGATGTCCCAATCAGTCTCCGCCTGACTGCAGTGACAAGACAGACTAAAGAACAGGGTTCAAGGAGCAGTTGGGTGTTAGGGCCGATCCAATAAGAAAGGAATGCTCGAGCTGAGCCATGCTGCTTAGCAGCCTGACTTCAGGAGGAGTCTCTGTGGCCTCTTCTTCATGATGCCTCTACTTAGAACATGCACTAGAACCATGAATGGAAGTGCCCTTTCACTTGGAGCTCATTGCCTATTTCCTTGAGGCAAAGGTTCTTAACCTGAAAATCTACAGAATTGTGGGCAAAACAATTTTGCCTGTATTTTCCTGAGAAGAAGATTTGTAGTTTTCATGGAATCTCAAGAGGGCCTATAGCCAAAAAGGAGAGAAAAAAAAAAAAAAAAAGCCAAAAACGAACGCTATAAGGGAAGAAGCATGTTGGAAGGGAACCAGTCTTCCAGAAATGCTGGCCTATGAAAATAGACAAGGGTCTGGCCTCTTCATACCAACAGAGGGAGCTAGCGCTTAGCCAAGGGGTACCACTCCTGTCCTGTCTTACACTCGGTTATACAAGGGACCCAAAGTTGCCCTTCCTCAGAAGAGACAGATAATGTTGGTAAGAATCATTCCATTCAGGGCTTGGTAGGTAAAGGTGTAGATAAAAGCTACTGACCAGGAGAGCTGTAACTGTGCTCAGTATTTCTCTTTTCTAGAGTCAGGATAAATAGTTAAGAATTGATGTCAGGATGCCAGGGCCAGTGATCTGATATCTCAGTCCCACTCTGTGCCCCTCCCCCCGCCCCCCATTGAAGAGATGCTCAGTCAGCCGCCCTCGAGCTCTCCAGAATGCTCCCAAGCCCAGCGCCTGGCTGGCTCACTTATCTGACCACCTGGCTCAAGGAGTGACAAGTCCTGTTGGATTTCTCTTCCAGGTCTTTCAGTTTGCAGTCAAAGAATCACTTATCCTGAAGCTGCCAACAGATGAGCTCATGAACCCGTCGCAGAAGAAGAAAAGAAAGCACAGGCAAGGGTTGGACAAAGGACTTTCTGTTCCCTGTGCTCTGACCTCCCCTTGGACTTCCCAACTGCCTCCCTCTTGAGTTTAGCATTGCACAACTGAGGGCCAGCCTTCTCAGTGCTCCCTGTGGGTCTGTGACTTGGACCAGCCCTTCCTTCTCCCATCCCTAGATGCTGTGGACTGGGAGATAACCGTCTGCCGTCCCTTTAAGCTCCTGGCCAGTAGGGTGAGAGCTGGCCTCATGGCTCCACCCTGAGGCCATTTCTCCTCATTGGGTGGTTGGTGACCACTGTTCTCACTTCTCAACTCTGACCAGAGTTTTTCCTTTTGGCTCTTGTATTGTTTTTTCTAAGTTGCACAATAACACCGTCTTTTAGCTAGCCTTTGCTAAGGGTTGGAAGGGTTTTTTTTTTAATTCAACATTCTGCCTGCCTCGGTTCCCTAATGACTATCACCTACTCAAGGAAGGAACTGACACCAATTCTAGATATAGAAGGAAGTCCCTGTGGCTTCTGCCTCTCGGTTTGTTCAGTCAGCAGATTCCTGAAAAGTTCCCACCTCCCCATCCTGCAATTCTTCCACATCTCCACCTCCCCAAAGAGAAGGAGGGAGGGAGGGGGGAGAGGGAGAAACAATAGCGTCATAATAGACACAGAGGGTTGGGTTTTGTGTTTGTTTTTTATACATCTTTGTTTGTTTTATATTTAAATCTTGAAGCATAGACCAGCTGGACTCCAGATGAACTCCGGCTTCCATCTAGCAGGATAGGGGCCTCTGGTGGAAGGATTCGGGGAGGATACTCCCTGGTGATCAAACCACAGTCCCTCAAAGCAGGCCATGTTGTTATTTACCCAAATGTGCAGAGCCATGACCCAGGCCCATCCGCCTCTCTTTTCCAGGTTGTGGGCTGCACACTGCAGGAAAATTCAGCTGAAGAAAGGTAAGTTGCACCAGGGTGCTCTTCGGCAGTTCAGCGTGAGGTCTCACCCCTGTGGTCACCCGCCCGCCCCACCTACAGCCGCTCTTGTTGACCCTGTACTGCTTCCGCAGATGGCAGATTTCTCTGCAGCAGCTGAGAACAGCTCAGCTTCTCACTGCAGCTGAGCGCACCTCTTAGGAGGTAGAGCTAGGAGCCTTGTGGTCTCTGACTTTCATAGCGCGCCATCTGCCAGGTTCCAGACTTCGTTTAGTGTTTGGAATGGACTGCCCTATAGTCCCAGACCATTTCCACACTCTCCCCACAAGGCAAATCACCCCGTTGTAGCTGACAAACAACCATCATCTCTGATGGCTTCTCACTTCAGGTGCTAAAACGTGTGTCCAAGATCATGACTGGGACAGCCTCCTCCAGTCGAGACGATCGGGCAGGTGGGAGGGAGGGCGGTAAGGGGCCCCGGGCACAGCAGTGTCCTGGTCTACTCTTTTCTCTCCTAGATAACTCTTCCACTCAAGTGTATAACTACCAGCCCTGCGACCATCCAGACCGCCCCTGTGACAGCACCTGCCCCTGCATCATGACACAGAATTTCTGTGAGAAGTTCTGCCAGTGCAACCCGGACTGTAAGTTTCCACTGTTTTCCCCTGTGGTCCTCTCGAAACAGCCAGCCACTGTGCACCCCAGGTTTCCCTCCCCGCCCATGCCCCTTGCTGCCCCTGGGCCTTCTGATGTCCTCTTTGCCGTGTTCTAAGCATTCTGCAGAGGAAACAAGATCCTTAAGATCTGGAAAAGTCATTGTTTTAAAAACCCATAGGTGTTTGATTCTAAAAGCAACAACTATACAGAAATCAGAAACATTCCCATCTTTACCTTCCAGAGAAGAATTAAGAAACGTGGGAATTTTTTCCCTTAAGGTGCTGTCACAGACCTCCTTTTTTAAGTGTTGTTTTACAACATGTACAGGTTACAACACTGCGTATGCCCATTTTAGTTTAGTATCCGGAGTTTTACTATCAGGTCAGTCTGGATGTCAGCAGAAGTAAGATAAAGGCTAACGGCTAAACATGCTTCTCTTTGACTTCTTATCACACTGTGCCCTTCCCCACTCAAGGCTGAGAAGTTCAATAGCAGCCTCCAGAGCCTGCAGAACTAGATGCCCAGGCAGTTGTGCTGGAAATACCTCCTAACCCATAGCAGATATCAATCTTAGCCACAGAAGAGAGGTGCTTGTGCTGGGGAGGGCAGTGGGTGGAGGAGGGTGGCATAGAACGGATGCATTCTGTTCTCAAAATGATTCTTGTTTTGATGGTGATGATTTACCAGTGAAAAGCACTGATTTCATTTTCTCTGGGCCCCTAACCACCTCCCTTCCAAATTACACCACCAAGAGGAAGGAAGAGCACTGTTGAGGAATCTCTAGGAAACACATCTCCATAGTCAAACTTGCTTTTTTTTGACTCCCAGGCATGAATGTTGGGAGGCACTCCATTTTCTCAGGAAAGAGAACAAACAAACAAACAAAAAATTGACTATACGAAGCAAGGGAGCTTCTCTCCTACTTGCCAGATCTCCTTGAACACATCACATGTACTTCTTTGCTGACCCCTGAGTCAGACCTGAGCGCCAGCTTAGTCTGCTACTTTTCCTAACCCACCCCTCCCTCCGCCCCTCTCCTCCTCCCCAGGTCAGAATCGTTTCCCTGGCTGTCGCTGTAAGACCCAGTGTAATACCAAGCAGTGTCCCTGCTACCTGGCAGTGCGAGAGTGCGACCCCGACCTGTGCCTCACCTGCGGGGCCTCGGAGCACTGGGACTGCAAGGTGGTTTCCTGCAAAAACTGCAGCATCCAGCGAGGCCTCAAGAAGGTGAGGGCTTTTCTTAGGACTGCGAGCCAGATAGTGGAGGGGAAAAGACTGAGTATTCCCCAGCAGCCTCTTTCCATTGGTCCCTTAGGGGGTTTCTACATGAAAGGGTTTGGTAAATCCTAAAGGACACACACGTACTGAGATAAAGAAAGTTTGCTGTCCCGGTGAGGAGTTAGGAAAATGACCCCTGACCTGGCCAGACTAAGAGGAGCAGAGAGGATGGACGCATCATTGATGTTGTCTGTTTATACTTGACCCGTAGCAGTGACTCCCTAGCGACTCAGGTCTAGGAGGTCCCCGGGCCTAGAGGAGGAGGTGTCATGTTTCCTTTCCTCACCTCCCTTTGCTGTTTTGCCTCTCCCCAGAACAGAATGGCTTAGACCTTTTTCTGTTTTCAGATCCTCTTAACAGTTGCTAGTTCTTTCCACCCTGCCCACCCCCTGCACACGTGCACATCCAGTACACACACCGCCCACTCACACATGCCCTGTAGTCTGAGGTTTGACTCCCTCTTCCCCAGCACCTGCTGCTGGCCCCCTCAGATGTGGCCGGATGGGGCACCTTCATTAAGGAGTCAGTGCAAAAGAACGAATTCATTTCTGAATACTGTGGTGAGGTGAGTGCTATCGGTTTGGACCACATTCCTTTCTGGGGAGATACTGATGAGAAACCCTGATTTTCTGTGGGCCAGACTTCTGTGACTTACTCTCTAAATAACTCAGCTGAGTTCCCGTGTGGCTTCTTGGGGGATCCCACAGAAGTGTTTGCAATCCTGAGATAAACCACTCTTCTTAAAGTCTTTGCCAATTCAGGCCACACAAAGGGGTGGGCGGGGAATGCTCTTCAGTCTTAATACTGGTCAGCCTGGAGGGGCTTAGATAGGATACAGTAACTTGAGCTCTGTCTCCTGTGACTCTCATCCTGATACTCAGCAAGCATGTGTATGTGACAGTGCCCCCTCCCAGTCCTTTCTGAGGGCAGGGTACCATGCCCTGAGCAGACAGCCTTATCCTCCGATTGTTCCTTATCTGTCTTTGCAGCTTATCTCTCAAGACGAGGCTGATCGACGGGGGAAGGTCTATGACAAATACATGTCCAGCTTCCTCTTCAACCTCAACAATGGTAAGGAGTCTCTTTCTCTTGCCCCATGGTGGTCTCAGGCACGTCTCTCTACCGGATTGCCCTTGCTGTAGTCCACGTTCAGATCAGCTGTGATTTCTCCAGCAGATGCGCAGAGGAAGGTGGGGACGTTGAACCTCAAGACACCACGAGCCACAGTTCACTTGCTTTGGGAGAACCTGCGTTTCTGGGTTGTGTTTATAATCGGAGCACTGAGCACTTACACCTGAGAAATCTCCCTACCCAGTAGATGGGAAGAGGGGATCTGTAATTCCAGCAAAATGGGGGGACCCAAAGGGAACGCGCCCACATGAGGCTGCATTCTTATGCTGCATGCTGCTGGACTTCAAAGTCCCCCACTGGATTATTTCTGTTACTATTTAATTGATTTTAAGACCAGGTTCGAGAAGCTGTGGATTTGCCTGATGAACCCATGATCTTTCTTTACGTTATATAGATTTTGTAGTAGATGCTACCCGGAAAGGAAACAAAATTCGATTTGCAAACCATTCAGTGAACCCCAACTGTTATGCCAAAGGTGAGTTCCCAGTGACCTGGGAGGTAGGGTGGATGATGGATGCTTTATTTACTATTGTTTCTATCCATTATGTGTCTTTTTCCATTGCCGAGTTATTTTTTGTCCAAAGACAACCATGCTTAATGTCTGGTATCGTTCTGCGTCTCCGTCTCTATTTTGTTAATTGGCTCTCTCACTGAATACATGATAAAGATTTTCCCACAAACAAGAATCTTTTAAAGATAGGTCTTTTCCCACATCACCAGCCCGAATAACAGATCTAAAAGCAGAGAGGCAACTGTCTTTACTGACTGCTTTTAAACTCCACTTTATTTATGTTTTCGCTGGGAACTGGGAGAAAATCAGCCCAGAACCTGCCGATTATTGGCTTGGAGCTGACTAGGAACCTAGCCTTGGCTTTGTCCTGTTTGCAGTGGTCATGGTGAACGGGGATCATCGCATTGGAATCTTTGCTAAAAGGGCAATTCAAGCTGGTGAAGAGCTCTTCTTTGATTACAGGTGAGGCAGCCAGAAATGATCCTTGGGAGGTAGCTCCAAAGGCAGAAGGGTGGCTGTTAGAATTGATTTGGGGGCATAAAGTGGGCGATACAGATGAAGGAGAGGGTCTTGTGGTGGTCAAGTCTTTCCCTCTGTTCTGCTCCCTGGTGCCTTGCCCCAGAAGCGGGAGCACTGTAAACTGCTCTGAGAGATGGGGAAGCAAAATAGAGGGGATTCTGTCTGTTCAGTCACAGAAGCCTTGACAGTGATCTCATTCCTCCTCCTGTCCCGGGACAGGTACAGCCAAGCTGATGCCCTCAAGTACGTGGGGATCGAGCGGGAGACTGATGTCCTTTAGCCCTCCTGGGCCCCACGCCAGCGCTTATGGTAGCAGCATTGTCTTTGCTCTCATGCACACAGCACCGCTGCTCGACTTTCCTGCACTACGTGTCTCCCACACCGAGAAACCCCCCACCCACTCCCTGCGCAGCGAGGCCTCCGCTGTGTCCAGTGGGGACAGACTGTCTCAGTGAGAGAGGAGACAGAGGCAGCTAGGGCTGGGCTCCCCAGGAGAGAGCTGTAGAAGCGGGAGACCACGTCTCAGGCCTTGGAGGAAGAGAGCACAGGCTGGGGATGGGTGGCTCAGCGTGGTTTCTTGTCCGTTCCGTAGGTCTTGGGCCTCAGCAGTCAACCTGGGCAGTTCCTAACAAGCATTGGCCTGTAATTCTAACTTTCCAAGTCAGGGGTCCTTGTCTAATTGGGTCGCCAGCCTATGTCTCTGTGGTAGGTCGTAGGACCGGAGAGGATGGGCTAAGTGAAGTTTGGTACCTGGAGCTTACGAGTGGCCTGGGTTAAAGGCAAGCCTGGTGGGTGGCACAGACTGAATTCAGAGGGGAGACGGGTCACCTTACTACCTCTTCCCTCCTGGCGGGGTTCACATTGAAGGAGTGTGGGTTCTGACTATAGAAATTCAATGCCGGGAGAAGGAAAGCTAAGTGCCGTTCTTCCGTGGACAGAGAGCGAGAGCCATCCTGATGACAGCAGTTCAGCTGCTAAGCTTGGGGCCCAACAGGCTTTCAGAAACTTTCTCTGTACTCTGGAGATGGATGGATAAGTTTTCAGATTCCTGAAAGCAGGTGCCAGCGCCCTATCAGCTCCTTCCAAAGCTCGGGCTTGGCGACCGCAGGCAGGCATCGTGCTGCTACTGAAGACGCACAGGAGGTATGCCGGGCCAGGCCGGGCGTGCGCGCTCTGGTCCTGGGTATGGAGGCCGTCTTCAGGCCTTGCATTCCCTTTAGAGGCCAAGCCCATGGGGCCTCTGTTGCTTATCTCTTCCGGGTAGATGGGCGAAAGCCTGGACTAGAGAGGGGGAAGGTTGTCAAGGTGATTTACTTTCCTGTCTGTAGCACCTGCTGTTGGAGAGGGTGAGTTGACAGCATGTGTTTGGAGATGGGTGAGGGGCTCCCAAGTTGCACGTGTTCAGGATGGCACCACGCTTGCAAGTGCACACTGGCAGAGGGTATTTGAAGTGTTGAGAAGAAGCAGGCCAACCTCCTGTGCCACTGCATGGTGCCGTTCTCTCTGGGATTCTTGAAGAGCAAAGCACTTTATTTCTTTGAGAAGGTCTGTAGCTGAGGTGGAGTTTGAACTAAAGTCTCTGGGATCCCTGCCCAAATCCCATTCCTAAGGGAAAGGGAAGGAGAGGGGGTTGGAAGATTCCCCTCCAGTTCTGTCTCAGCTCCTGGTGGAGGCAGGAGGAGCTTCCTTGACACACAGGAAGTGAATGAGGATGGGGCCAGCTCTAGGAGCCAGCCCTGTGTCTGTGGCTGGCGTGCTGAGCTGACAAGGAATAAGGAGCATTGTGCTGGGTAAAAAGGACGTGGCAGTGACAGGCTGGCCTAGGGAATATCAGCATAGGGAGCAGGCTTCTCTTTTCTCTAGGGAATCCAAGCCTTTCTTCCTCAGTCTGTACTGACCACTCCCTTCCTCCATCCCTGCTGGCTGTCCCACGAAGCAAGGAGTGGGGTTCCCTCTGGCCAAACCGTCGCCTGGGGATTTGGGTGGGACGTGCACACACACACACTCACATCTCCACGCGCCACACTTGTGAGCACTCATGCACTCAGCACTGAGCACACACCCAGCCAGCTCCTGACAGAAGCCTCTTCCCACCTGACCGGCCAGCCCCGCCACCATTCCGAAATCTGCATCTGCTGTGGTTTGTATCCGTTGTGTACCGGGGATGCCCTCTAGCCCGATTGGGCTCTGAAGTACTCGTAAATTATAGGGGAAAATCAGAGACAAATGAAGAAGCAGGAGTTAGGTCTGTCTGAAAATGGGGCTGGCTGTGAGGAAATCATGGGGAAAAAATTACATCCAGCCACTGAGAGGCTAGATTGACCCCACTCTTCCCTCAGCATGCGGAACCCTGTCCTTCCCAGTTTCAGACCACTGATACTCCTGTTCTGCCAGCATTCCTATTTTCCCTGCTGTCCCCCACGTTTAATGACAGGTCTCAACCCCTCCCCCCAGACATGGTTGATGGATGGAGCAAGGTGGTGGGGACTTGGGGTGGGGGAGGCTGGTATATGTGCGGCTTTATCGCCAGTGAATTTCACGCACTTTAAAGTCCTGTGGCTTGTGACCTCTTATCTGAATAAAGTGATAGAGTCCATTTTGGCAAGTTTTGCCTTGTGTACTTTGGGGCTGGAAGGATCCAGGGATGGCAGCACAGGGGCAGCTGGGGCTAAAGCGTTAGCATTCAGATCCCCTCCTGTCCACTGAGATCTGGGGTTGGGGGGCAGGTGGTGAGGAAGGTTGGCAAGAGCCGGTCAGGCCCCGGGCAGGCGATGCAAGGATTCAGAGGATTCCCGGTGGAAATTTCTGAGCCCTCCAGTTAGTTCCCTGAAAGTCATCCCACTTACCCCCAGCCACGACGCCAGCTACCACGCACAGACTGGGGCTCTGCCACTCTGCTTTATTAGAACGGTTCTGGTTCTGCGAGCACGGCTTCAGAGTGGAGGCTGGGTCAGGCTGGCCGAGTGGCCAGCCGACCTCACGAGACTTCCAACACGGGAAAAGCAAGAACTACAGACCGTGGCACAGCACAGGACAGGACAGTCGATCAATTTTTTTCTTTTATATATAAACTGATAATTAAAAAATTAGAGTAGTATATAGAGTTTCTCTAGAGAGAGACTTTGCAACAAAAAAGATATATAAAGAACATGACCTCCTGGGCAAACGAAGCAGCATCTCTGAGCGGAGGAAAGAGGGCTCCTCATGCACTGGAGAGGGGGCCAAGCCTTTGGACAGGCACCAAGGCTATTGCATATCTTGGAAGAGGGAGGAACAATAGAGGGCAGGCTAATGCACTGGCATCTGCATTATTCTCTCTACATTGCAAGTTGTTTTTATGGCTTTGGCTAAAGCATGTGAAGCAGCGGAGGTACTAAGGTGCTAAAACCGAGGCCTCTCGGTCTCCGTAAAAAACAAAAAAGAGAGGATGGGGGACAGCAATGAAGCCCTCCCTAACCCCCAACTGAGTGGAAGCAGATGGAAGGCATTCTGCAGGGCAGGGGGGAGGCTAGGGGATGTAATTTAGCAGCCTCCTCCCCCCATGCCCTGTGCATCCCTGCAATCCCACACATCTGTCCCTGCTGAGATTGAATACTTGAAGGGAAGCAGTTAATCTCTCTTGCACTCTGTCATTAATCCCTGGCAGCAGCTGGGACAGGGATGGCAGGGAGGGCCTGTCTCAACCCCATGGAGCTTCTCCTTTGGGGCAGGCAAACAACCAGGAGCCTGGGGAAGCGGGAACCGGGAGGGCATTGATTTAGGCAGTGAGGCTCGGCCACTCTCTTTGGTCCCATCTGTAGCTCTGCCCACCAAACTTGGCAGGAGGGGCATCCTCTGGATGAGCAGAACCTGCTAAGAGGAGCCAAATGTCCCTGACAGGGTGGGGAGAGGCAGGAATTGGGGAACTCAGAGGAAATGGACGTGGTCCCTAAAGCCCTTTTCCTGATTCATTCAGACCTGGACTCCTCCAGGATCTGGGGGAGGTTTTGGTCCCGGGAGCCAGGGGCTGGGGCTGGGGCTGGGGCTGGGGCTGGGGTGGAAGCCGGTGTAGGGGCTGGGGCCTGGGCAGAGCCTGAAGTAGGTAGGGGAGGTTTGCTGCCAGGGTGGTAATCATGGGTGGCCTTGGGCTCATTGGTGTGGTAGGAGCCCTTGTAGCGATGATTTTGCAGATAGAAGAGCACCAGCATCCCCACCAGCCCCAGCAGCAGGAAGGCCACCAAAACTGAAAAAGGAAAAAGGAAGAGTTCAGGGCAGGTCTGAATGTATGTATGCTTGGGCCAAAAGAATACGCATGTGACTGGCTGCCGTTCGATCGTGTCAGGCCATTCCCAAGCGCCTGGCGGGTCTGAATTCCTGTTACCCATTTCTCACCTCTCTACGTGTTACTGCACCCCCCTTTCCTCATCCCTTAGCCATAGCCCCCTTTTAATATTTCATTTCAACGAAAAGTCTGTAGCGTCCTCAAACATTTAAAAATCTCCAGCTTGGGGGCGCCTGAGCGTCGGGCTTCGGCTTAGGTCATGATCTCAGGGTTTGTGAGTTCAAGCCCCACATCGGGCTAGCCACTGTCAACGCGGAGCCCGCTTCGGATCCTCTGTTTCCCCCCCCCCCCCCGCCTCTCCCCCACTCGTGCTCACTCGCTCTCAAAAATAAATGAACATTAAAAAAATAATAAAAATCTCCAACTCAATGCCATACTACCGTCAGCACAGCCCGGCTCATCCTTGTTTGCACCACCCCGCACTGAGTGCCTTCGCCACCCCTCAGCCCTGGGGATACGGGGAAGGGAATGCTGACCGAGGGTAGAATTAGGAGGTCAGGGTAGTGATCACGCTACTCACAGCCTAAAAGTATGGCAACCCATCCCTCGTCGTGGTAGTACGGGAAGTCTGGAGAGGAGAGAGCGCCGGTTAGGAGAAACCCCCTCCTTGTAAAGAATCGTTTCCCTTCCCTGCCGTCCCTCACTGCCCTCCCTCCTCCATGTGCCCTGGACGTACCCGGGGGCAGATACCAGGGGTCCAGCTCAGGCGGCACCTCTGAGAAAAGACGGGGCATGGCTCCGCAGTTAGATTCCGACAGGTCTCCCTGAACTCGGAGGGCCTCAGCTAGCTCGGCGGTCATGGGTCGAGGGGTTCGGAAGTGGGTCTTGAGAGGGGCCACGTTGTTGAATCGAACACCAGACAGGCAGCCCGAGAAACCCGGTGTGTTGTAGCGCTGGATCTCCGGGTCAATTACTCCCGTCTCTGAGGGAGAGGCCGGCCCAGAAGGAGAGGGGCTGGGACCACCCATAGCCTGGCCCCTCTCACCCATCTCGCCGTCTGCAGGGTTCCTGCACCTTGTTATCGCCGCCTTCCCAGCCCTTCCCAGGTCCCTCGCTCTCTAGGCTCCGGGGGCCTCACCCGTAACTCCTTAGCCCAAACATGATGGCACCCACGCCTCACCCATCACACGCCCTAGATACAAGGCCTTGGGTGAGTCCAGCTGGCTGTCCACCAACAGTGAGAACTTCTGTTCTGTCAGTGGGAAGTAGTCCACCTGAGGGGGAGGGAGAGGAGCTGAGGGAGGGAGAACCAGAGGCCGACGAGGCCGAGACCACGCAGGAAGTCCTGTTCTGTCCACACTGGTGGTGAGTCCTGGCCTAGTCCTGGCTGGACAACCCCTGGGTCCGGATGAAGGATTTCATATTAAAAACCCAACGGCCTCGTTCTGAGCCGTCTTTGAAGCTACCAGTGGCTTGACTTTGTGGAAAACCCCTTTACTTTCTGAGCCCATTTACTGATTTATAAAGCAGACGTGGTAAGAACTCCTGCCCACCTGAACCACCTCCCGGAGTTGTGAGGGTTGCATGAAGTAATACCCATGAGAATCCTCTGTACATTGCGATGTGCTCTACTCATGCTAACTCTTTGACATTTTCCTGGGCACCATCACGAGGCTACGATCTGAGTCGGCTCACCTCCCTCGTCCACCTCCCTCCACACGCACCTGGATGAAGAGGTTGCGGTAGACCCGGGTGATGTTGACGCTGTGTGGCTGGCCGTCTGTGACCGGCTTCGTGGTCAGCTGGTACACGTAGGGGCTGGTGCCCAGCTGATACCGCAGCTGCAGGGTCCCTGTGGGATGGGGAGGACAAAGGGAGTCTCCTCTTGGCTCCCACAGCCCCCGTCTTTTTTTTTTAATTATTTAAATGTTTATTTATTTTTAATTTTTTTATGTTCAGAAACAGAGCAGGAGTGGGGGAGGGGCAGAGAGCGAGGGAGACACAGAATCGGAAGCAGGCTCCAGGCGCCGAGCTATCAGCACAGAGCCCGACATGGGGCTCGAACCCACCAACCATGCGATCGTGACCTGAACCGAAGTCGGATGCTTAACCGACTGAGCCACCCAGGCGCCCCAATGTTTGTTTATTTTTGAGAGAGAGAGAGAGAGAGAGAGACAGAGCATGTGCAGGAGAGGGGCAGAGAGAAAGGGAGACACAGAATCAGAAGCAGGCTTTAGGCTCTGAGCTGTCAGCACAGAGCCCGACCCCGGGATCAAACTCACGAACCATGAGATGGTGACCTGCGCCAAAGTCTGATGCTTAACAGACTGGGCCACCCAGGTGCCCCAGCCCCCATCTTCTGAGAATGCTTGGGTCCTTCTACTAGCGAACCAACAGTCGTGAAAGTGAAGGGCGCCCTGCACGCAGAGGGAGCCGAGGGGCAGCCTATGCGAGCTTACCATCTTCCTTGATGAGCACGGCCATGTAGTCCCGCACAAAGGAGCTGACATAGAGCAGGACCGCAGGGGCGGAGTCAGTGCTGAAGCTGAAGGACACCTCCTCACCGGTGACATTGTAGACAGGCCCACGGTAACCGGGCACGGGCCGGCCGGGCCGGGGGTAGTCCGGCAGACGGTAGCCAGGGCCATGGTAGCCAGGCACGTAGCCAGGGGTGTCATAGCCGGGGATGTAGCCAGGCTCGTAGCCGGGCACCGGCCGGCTGAGCATGTGGGAGAACTCCCGGGCGGCCGAGCGCAGCGCTGACTGGAGGTTGTAGCGCATCCAGGTGCCGGGCTCAAAGAAACCTCCGATATCTGAAGGCGGAGGGTTATGAGGTCAGGGATTCAGACACTACGCCATCTGCACACCCACCCTGGAACTTGCCCTCGAACCACAGCACACTGTCAGAACTTCACTCTTCTGTCCCCTTGAGCCTCTATGTCACAGAAGGGAAATCTCAAAACTGTGAGAAATGGGAAAGATCATCTAACGCAACCCCTGCATTTTACAGATGGGGAAACTGAGGCACAGGAATGGCTAGTGACTTCTGTAAGGGCAAGCAGTCTATGGAGAGCCAAGATTAGAATCAAGGTATCATGGGGCGCCTGGGTGGCTCGGTAGGTTAAACGTCCAACTTTGGCTCAGGTCATGATCTCACAGTTTGTGCATTCGAGCCCCACATCAGGCTCTGTGCTGACAGCTCAGAGCTGTGCTGACAGCTCAGAGCCTGGAGCCTGCTTCGGATTCTGTGTCTCCCTTTCTCTCTGCCCCTCCCCTGCTCACATTCTGTCCCTCTCAAAAATAAACAAACATAAAAAAAAAAAGAAAAAAAAAAGAATCGAGGTATCATGACCCCATCTGGTACACTCGCCACCACTCACACTTACTTTTTTTTTTTTTTTAAGTTTATTTATTTAAGTAATCGCTACACCCAGCGTGAGGCTCAAACTCACAACCCCAAGATCAAGAGTCGAATGCTCTTCCACCTGAGCCAGCCAGGCAGCCCACTACTCACACTTCCAAACTGAGACCAAAGGTCCTCAGCTGATTGGAGTTCCTGTGTCTTCCTGCACCACCAGACATCTCTCACCGTTAACCTACCTGTGTGTGCATCCTCCTAGACCAGCCTTAGGAAGGATGCAGTCTGGGTGTATGTGCAGAATCTTGCTATGGTGAATGTCAAGGCTTGCCTTAACCAAGAGCCAGGCTGTAGACATGTTTTAGGAGCACAGGAAATGGCCAAGGAGGGCATCGCGCAGCCTGAGGTGACTATGCTTGCAAGAGGGGTAACCTGCGGTAACTTAGTGACAGTGGGAAGATGGGGAAGTTATTTGCTTGTTGCTTTTAAGTTCTTTTAGTACCAGCTAGCTGAACCATCCCTTCTTGGCCCCACTTTATGACTTGGAGTCATCCAGGATCTTCAGCTGCCTGACGCCCCGGATGAGAGCTCAGGAACGCAGGGACAACTCTAGTTTTCCCTGTCGCTGACTCTGCTCTCTCCGTCCTTCCCTGCCCTCCCTACGTCCCATTGTGCCCTGTGGCTCCCTAGTCTCGCACAAGCAGCCGCACTGACCGTGGTTGCAGTATGGCCCGTCAAAAGCCGTGAGGTCACAGTCACACGTGTAGTAGCTGTAACGCTCCACACAGCGGCCTCCGTGGAAACAGGGGAACCGGGGGTGGGCGCAATGGCCTGTGCAGTTGGGTGAGGTACCCTCCGAGGCGTTGGCACGGCCTTCCAGGTTTAGAGTCACTCCATTCAGACGCATAGCCCTCAAGCAACCCACGAAGGGGCGCCTCTTAAGCTCTGCAGATCCTGAGAAGGGTGGGCAGGTCAAAAAAAGGGTGTCAAGCCAGAGACAGGGATAAGAACTGGGGTCTGGAAGGGAGCCAAGGGGAATGTAATAATAGGATAAAATCCATGGCCTAGAGAGGAAAGGTGAGCCTTTGGGTCACGCTGCAGCAGAGGGGATCAGGATCTAAGACATGGGGCTCCTGGAAACAAGGAGAATGGTTGGGAGGGGGTGGGAAGGTAAAGGAAGCTTCAGACCCGCCTCGGGGCTGCTTCTTACCAACATAAAGGGGCTGGTCATACTCCAGCCAGATGTAGGTCTGCAGGGGCATAGGCCGCAGCACCCAAGGCCGGTGATCAACACGGAGCCGGGCCTGCTTCACATTGATCTCCGCCCGGACCAGGTGCCACTCATCGTCGTTGAATTCAAAGTCATCGGAGTGTACGGTCAGGTTCTCATCCCCGTTGCCCACGTCAAAGGCGAAGACCACATCCCGGGACGCTGGACAATGCAGTGGGGTGGGGAGAAAGGACTCAGACCTCACAGATCCCTTACCCCAGACCACCTCTCTTCACTCTCTGGAGCTCCTTGAATGTCCCTCCAATTTGTCTACGGCCCGGGACAAAACCCATAAACTCCTTGAAACCTTACACCCCTGGTTTCTGAGTTCCTTACACCCCCATTTCTGAGGTTAGAAGCATAGCTAGTCATGTCGGAAACCCCTCAGGAGTCCAGCTGACTTATTCACAAGGGCCCTAAGGCCCCGAGAGGTGAAGACAGTGCCTAAGTTCACAAAGCCAGCTACCAAAACAGAGCTTGGTCTGGGCCCTACAGTTATCTAAAGCCCTTTCCATGCTGCCTTTCGAGGGGCATCTGCCCTTGTCCCTTCCCCCAGCCTCTGCCTACCCCATATCCCCCCCCGAGACCTTCATCTAGCCCACATCCCTCCTGATGTCTGCCTGCTCACTGTTGAGTTCCACCCGCACGTAAGGTCGGCGCCACTGGCAGTAAGGGCCCCCCATGTTCTCTAGGAAGACTCCTGAGGGAGCCGAGGTCCTGAAGTAGAAGGAGACATCAAGGCTGTGGTTGGCACGGATGGGGGGAAAGCGCAGAGCAGCCCCAGTGTGGAAGGAGATGGTGTTCCAGGAATTTCCTATAAAACCAGAAGGAGGAAGGCTGGATCAGGGAGGTTGGAGAGTGGAGCAGGGAGCCTTGGGTGGTGTGGGAGAAGGTAGGGCAAAAGGGGACAGCTAGGGGTGTCCAAGGTGGGGGCGGGGGGGAGAAACAGGTATAGCGAAAGAGAATAAGGTACAGGGGAACCACACAGACGGGGGTCATATCACAGCAGGAGCTGGGTGTCTGGCAGTATGTCCTAGAGACCCACAGTGGGCCAGGTGTCCTAAATTTTGGAAACCGGAGAGCCAAGCCCGGGAGGGCACACAAAAGGGGTCTGCCACTCACGATCGCCGTAGCAGCGCAGAGGCCTCAGGAAGAACTGGGCCTCAGAATTGGAGCGGTTCGTATCCCCCACCACCACCTGAGTGACGGGCAAATGGTCCACAAAGGTCAGCAGTCCCTTGTCGGTTCTCCTGTGGGGGCAGGATGCAGTGGTTCAGCCCCTGCTGCTCCGCTGCCCCTGGAATCCTGAATGCCCTGTCCCTTCGCCCCTCACCACTGGGGCTGGTCAGCATCACAGTTACAGTGCAGAGCGGGGTCCACACAGCTCCGGTCCAGACCGCAGGCACAGCGCTGGATCCCAGGCTGTGAGCCTCCCCAGTAGAAGTGCTGCTCCTCATTTCGGCCAATCCAAAAGCTGTAGGGGTAGCCTCCTGGGGAAGACGTGCAGGCAGTTTCCAGGCCCCATCCCTCCATTAGCCCCTGGGTTCCTCTCTCGCCTTTCCAAGCAGCCCCGATCCTCGCTTGAATGTTCGAGGGCTCTAGCTGAAACTTCTGGTTCTCTCCTCCCAAGTCCCCATGGGTCGCTCCCCCAGCTCTGCACCTCACCCTCGGTGACCCTGGCCCTCACCAGCAGTGTTGAGCAGCCGGGAATTGTAGCAGGAGAACTCGATCCACTGTTCACAGTGCTGGGAAGCATTGGCCAGGGCACTGACTTCCTCCCAGGATGCGTTCCAGTACTGGATGGCCCCCAGGAATGGCCGCTCCATGCTAGAACCTGTCACCCGAGTTGTCCACAGCCTGTCATGCCGCACAACTGTCCATGCCCGGTTCTCTGGGGGAGGGGAATGGACAGAGCTTTGGCTCAAGATGGGCATTCTCTACCCATCTCCCTACCTCCACCACTGCTGCTGCTAGTCAGAGCCAATAAATGTGACCAGCAGCTCCGTTCCAGCCCACTGTCGGCTGGAGATGTGACAGCCGGACAGCTGGAATGGATCAGGAAGCTGGAATTTATCAGCAAGGCTAGATTACAAATTCCTGAGTGTCCCCTTTCCCCTCTGCCATCCTTTACCCCTACCACAGTTTGATCTTGCTGGCCCCTGTCCCCCCTTCAACCCCCTGTTTTCCCCACACCCCCACACAGCCTTGTCAGCTGCCCCTTCACCACTCATCAGAGCCACTTACCTCGGATATCACAGTACACTACAAATGGCTTCAGGGGACCACTGCCATCAGGATCAATGGTGAAGTTTCCAGAAGTTTTCCCACTGAGCCGATAAGCCTCACAAGATTCCTTATACAGAGCTGGTAGGTCGGGGGGTGGGCAAAGGGCATTTATGGGGTCAGAGGGCTAGGAGTGCCAGTCCTACCGTCTCCAGCAGCCTCATGATCCCCAGCAACCTCTTGGCCTCCCCTGCCCCTGAGTCTCTCCCATCCCCCGCTGCGCTTACGTTGGTGGCAGGTCTCCCCCTTGTAGCCTGTCAGTTCACAATAGCAGATGAAGTCATCCCAGGACTGGTAGCAGCGTCCGTCATGCTCACACATGTTAGGGCTACACCTAGGGAAGAGGGCCAGCACCAAGGGCAGGCGCCTTACTGTGAGTGTGAGAATGGGGTCTGATCCCTACAAGCTTCACTCCAGGCTCCTGAGAGCACCAGAACCAGCCTCGTAGAAGCCTAAGTGCTGGTGCATGAGTCCTTGGGGCTCAAGGACTCTTCACCCTCTACTGGCCCCCTCTCCCACCACCCCCCTCCAGAAGAAAACCCCCTAGGGCCAAGAACAGATGCTTCATTTCCATTCTGAGCTTGTGTCACTTTAATGGAAGGATTAGGTAAAGGAGGACAAGAGGTTAAGATAACAAGTCAAGGAGGAATCATCTCCAGGTGGGAGACTGAGGACCTGGGACCAGGAGAAGGGAGATTATTGAGAATGGCCACTCCCATGGGGAGACTACAGAAGGGGGCTTTGCAGGGGTCACCTCTTGTAGGGAGAGGGGCTTCTGGATACCTATCAGTGATGCCACATGTGTCAAAGAGGACCTCAGCATAGTATCCAAGCCGCCGGCCCTCCACCAGAGTCAGGTTGACCAGTTGACCATCCACCTTGAGCAGCTCCATGCAGCCATGGAACGCCGTCTGGTTGGAGTGGCATCCCGATCGACTGGCTGGTTTGGGACAACCTGGAGCAACCACCCCTGTGAGGCCCTCCCCAGGGGAGACCCCAGAGACCCTCCCCCAGGGAGATGCCAAGGGAAAGCCAGACATGAAGGAAGGAAGGGGGCCAATAGACAATGGCAATGGCCTTCCAGTCTCCAAGGCACCAGAGGGAAAAAGAGGGATTTATCCCCACAAAACGCTCCATGTAGCCCCATCTGAGGGGACTTTGGTGGGGCCTTCCCACCCAGAGATAGGAGTCTGGCCAGGTTGGCTCCCACTTACCCCCAAAGAAGTATGAGGTGCCAGTCCGGATCAGCAGCGGGTATGAGACCCTGACCTCTGCCCCCTCCACATCATCAATGCTGATGACTGCATGGTTCTCCTGTGCTGCAAAGTTCACCTCGTGCCAAAAGCCATCATTCAGGCGGTACCCTGGATGGGAGAAGAGGATGGTGTGGCTGAGGGAAGCTCCAAACTCTGAGAGAAGTGTCTTTAGTGGGGAAGCAACAACCCCACTCTGTGCCTATGTGCCCTCCATTATTAACACTTATCACACTGAGTGTGACATTTTTGAATGTCTGTCTTCACTAACCCTAGCAGCTGATGCAGTCTGTAAAGTTGTAAATGAATTAACAAACAACTCCCAAGCCTCCCCTGGAACTAGAGGGTACCAGGACTCTCAGCTTTCCTGCTTCTCCCAGCACCCTTAGCTCCTCAGATCTGACTCCCTGCCACCATCCACTCCCACCTTCTCCCAGGGCCCAGGGTCCTCCTGCTCTGCTCCCTTCCCTCCCTCACCCCTCTCCAAGAGGCAAAGTCCTCCCTGCAGGCCCACACTCGCCCCTCCTCTGGCCTCCTGGCGCCTCCCCCCACCCTCTGCCCCTCACCAGCGGCAAACTGAAGCTTCTTTCGGCCAGTCTGCGCGATGGACACGTTGACCTGCCCTTCACTGAGCAGGAGCTCCACGTGGCCCAGCCCGTCCCCCAGGCGGGAGAAAAGTAGCAGCCCTGTGAGATCCCAGGTGCGGAAGCGAAAGGAGACTGCCAAGCGGCCACGGCGCGGGAAGCCAGGCACTTGCACGAAGTTGTGAGGCCCTCCGAAGTTGATGGGGTGAGGAACCGGGTCCAGGCAACGGAAGGCCACCTTACCCTGAGGGCGAAAGTAAGGATCCATCAGCACCGGAGAGAATGGAAGACATCTGCCTCTGCTGGGATTCAATTTTCATACTGGTCTAAGACCCTTCTGAGGCACTCCCTCGCAGTGTGTGGGGGAAGGGAGGGGGTAAGACCTCACCCCCCACAAACATATCCAGCTGTGGCGGGGGGCGGAGTTTCCAACCAAGTCTGCCCTCAAGGCTCTCCATTGGCTAACGCTGATCTACGCCGTCTCCAGGGGACCACCTCCTTCCCTTCCTTCCAGCTTGGAGAGGCAATTTCCTGCTGGCTTCCAGGCAGCGACATTAGAATGCCCGCTGCAGAGTTGGGGTGTGGGGTCACACCAAAACAGTCCTGGGTTCAAGTCCCTACTCAACCACTGCACAACTGTGTGATCTCTGGCCAAGCCACTCCGGTCTCTGCACTTGTTTTTCCTCAAGCATTAATTGAGGATGTGGTTGGGCCAGACCACAGCTTCATAACTGGGGGTTAGGGAGGGGTGGCCTTTCACCTCCTGTGAGTCGGTGATGCCCCCACTTGAGGATGTGGCAGGGGAGAGAGGGATCCTCGGCTTTTATCTGATTCTCAAGATCTCTTCCTGCTCCACCTCTTTGCTTTCCAAGCAGCTTTGATGTCCCGTCCTCCCTGATCCCCCCTGCCCACTGGCCTCAAAGGTGATCCTCGAATGGCGCCGCACGGCCAGGTCTGCGATGTTGACTCGGTTGAAGATTATGTTTTCTATGCAGCCGCGGAAATTATGACGATAGGCAAGGTTCTTCTGCGCAGCGCCCACTAGACCCCCGATGAACATCTGCGGGGCAGGGTGGGGGTGGCGAGGCTCCCTGGGTGTGTGAGCCTGTGCCCAGGCTCTTCCGCCCCACACTTTCTCAGGCTCTGGGCCTGGCTTTATAGAAGACTGGAAATATCCATTTCCCCAGTATCATCAGTATTAAAGCTGGAAGTTCGCTGGGCTTCCCCAGACTTGGGTTCTAGCCCTGACTCTGCCACAAATTGGCTGCGTGCCCTTGAGTAAGTCAATTAACCTGTCTGGGATTCTTTATCTGCAGATCCAAACCACGGTCTTTACCAACTCCACAGAGTTAAGCAATCCAATGGGGCAATTTTCTCATCTTGCCTGATCCCCCAAACCCAGATTTTCAATTCCCATGTCAGTAGTTCTGGGGTTGTGCCCAGGAAATCTGCCTGTTAACGGCAACAACAGTGACAAAAACCTAGGCCTACGGGCCGCAGGTCTGCCAAGAGCTGCTAGGATATTCAAGAACCAGAAAGCAAGGTCCTACCTCTGGTGGAGAAAAGTCCTGTCCCCCCACTGACCCACCCAGCACCCCACTCAACTGAATGAACCACTCTGCTCACCTCGTTGTCCAGGTTCAGTCTCTCAAAGTCTCCATTGAGCACAAATCGCTGCACGTAGCCATCCAGGGTGAGATTTGCTTCTCGGCCAAATCGGTCCACACGAACGTAATGCCAGTGTTGATCATTGAGGACGCCACCAGCACTCACTGTGGTGTGACCGGGCCTTGGCTGGATAGGGCTGCTGCCTGGGGGGCAGGGGTGGGGGAGGGTGGGAGAGCAGGGTCAGACCTACAACCTGGAGAACCCCCAGGTGGAGATGTTTAGCCCCCAGGTGAAGCAGCAGCCAGGAGCACAGAGAGTTTGCACAGGGCCCAGGGCAGCCAGGGAGGGTGGGCATATAGAGACTGGACTTTAGCTTGGGATGGAGTGGTGGCCATTGGCGAATATGTGACTTAGGGTAAGTCATTTAACTTCTCTGAGCCTTTGTTTTCCAATCAGTAAAACTTGGGGCATGATCGCTGCTTCTCCCTCATCATATGGATGTTATAAAGGCTAATGAGATACAAAATAACAACTCTTTGGGTTTATATATATATGTACTTGTAGTATATATAAGGTTTCTACAATGAAGAAACTGGGTAAGTGCCTTGTTCAAGGTCGCCCCACGGGTAATGGAGCTGAGACTGGAATCCAGATCTCCTGACTCGGAGTCCAGTGTTTTGCTAGCGCCAAATTCTACACGAAGAAGGCGGGTTGATCCAAACAGTAAGGAAAGGCCAGATCGGGAGTGGGCGCGGCTTCGCGTAGGCGGTGCAGCGAGGGGCGTGGCAGCAGAGCCTCCGGGGTCGCACCCCGGGTGGCTGAACTCACCCAGGCTCATGTGCAGCAGCAAGTGCGCCCCCTGCAGCTCCAATGTCACGTAGTCGCCCTGGACGCCCTCCGCGTGCAGCAGGAGCCCGTCCTTCTCTTCCGTCTTGAAGCTGAAGGCGAACACATCCCAAAGGCTCCGGCTGACCCCTCGCGGGAAGCGGTATGAGATGGCATCGTCGCCGTCGAAATAGAGCACGTCGGACTCTGCGCAAAGGACAGTAGGTGGGCCGAGGACCGGGAAGACTCTCCCAGGAGCTCCGCCACGGCCTCCGCATCCTTACTGTAAGGGCAGCCGTAGAGGCCGAGCCTCAGGCCGATCTTGCCGCGCGGGTTCCAAGCCAGTGGCACGATGCGGATGTAGCGCGCGGTGAAGTGATAGTGCAGGTCGTGGCGCACTACCGCGGACTCGTTCACGTTACCGAAAAAGGTCTGAGGGAGAAGGCGAGAGGAGAGACCAGGTCCCCACTTTCTACTTCGTTTCTCCACAGCCTCCCAGCCCACAGCTGCCACACCCAGCCAATCTAGACTTCCAGAAAGCAAACTCTCCTTGATTTCCTCGGCCCTCATGGCTTTAGGAAAACAGGTGCCTTAGCGTAAAATGTCCTCTCCCACCATCCTATTATTTCCTCGGAGCCCAACTCAGACGTCACCTCCTTCAAGAAGCTCTCCCAGATTTTACCCTAAAGTATGTTAAACCCTGTCATCTGAGAATGTCTCGCACACATGGCGAACTGACCGTCCCTATGAACTGAACCCCCTGATTGGAAGTCACTGCTCCTCATCTGTGTCCACACCACCTCCTCCTCCACTTCCCCCAAGCTAGTGCCCAGCCCAGGTTGCAGAGTTGAGGAGGTTCTCCAAGTGTGTGCACGGGGGGCCTGGAATACCGCGTTGTGCCCTTGCTGGTAGAACGGCGTCCAGCTATCCACTCGGTCCCCGTAGAGCAGCATGTAACGCGTGACCCAGTCCCACGAGTTAAATGAGCCCTGGGTGGCCACAGCTCGGATCCGGTGCTTCTTCATTAAGTCGATCTGGAGCCAAGGATTCGGGTCCCCAATTCGGGGAGACCATCCGCTTATGCCTATAGAAGAGGCAAGGGCTTTCACCCCCGGCTCTCCCTTCATCCCTAGCCCTCCAGAGTCCCCCACCACGCCTTGGGGCGGAGCCTCACTCACCGTGCAGCCGGGCAAATCGAGGCGCAGTGAAGAGCCCGTAGTAGGAGGAGGCGCCCAAGGAGCGTGCGTACAGAGGCCCGACCAGCTCCTCGTCACAGCCGTCTGGGTTGGGGGAACGGACATTTTGATCAGGGCGACCCCTCCCAGGTCCTTCCAAAGGCCGCGCACACAGAGCAACTGGAGTTCCTCCTTCTCTGTCCCCCAGCGGCCAGCCCAGCCCTAACTTAAGCCATCTACCCAATCTGGGCTGCAGCAACAGCTGCACACTCCGGGAGGCTGCCTTCTCCTCCTGGGGGGTTCACTAAGCCAGACCTTCCCTAGCTCTGTGACTGCTCTGGTACCAGCCCAGGCTTAGTACTCTCCCAAACACAACCCCAAGCCTCAGCATCTTATAGAACCTGAGTCAGCCCAAGGCACCAATCCAGCCCCAGCCTTATCATCAATCCCACTCATCAGCACCCCCAACCCTCACCAACCCCAATCCAGGCCTTGGTCCCAACCCCAGCCAGTCCTACCAGCAACACCAGCTCCATGTCCAACCTCAGCATCAATCAGGGTCACCAACTCCCGCTTGGATCTCAGCCTCAAAATCCACCCCAGCCCCAAACCCTAGCCCTTGGGCCAGCTCCAAGCCCAGCCTCAGCCCCTAACAAAACCTTAACCCTGGCCGGGTCACCAGTACCACCCTTATCTCCAACCCTCAAACCCAGGACCACCTTCCGCTTGGATACCAGTCCCAAATCCCCACCCCGGGCCGACTCGAGCCTCGGCCCCTCCGAGCCCAGCACCACCCCGGGAGCGCGCGCCAGCCTCGGAGCTGCATTGCGGAGCGCGGGGGAGAGGCAGGAAAGGATGGGAATGAGCGAGCGCGCGCCGGCCGGGAAGGGACCCGCGACCACCTAGCCGCAATGCGGCTAGACCCGCCCTGCAGGCTTTGGACTCCCCGGCCCAACCCTGCTTGCACCTGCGCCCGGCACTCACAGTAGCCCCAGCCCTGGGTTCCTGAGACCGCGGCAAGCAGGATGCAGAAGAGCCGGAGACACATGGTGCAGGGCTGATGGGTCTCGGCGGCCGCCTCCCAGTGCCCGGTTCCGGGTAGGGCTCCAGTTCCAGCTTGGGCTCCCCAATCTCCTTCTGGGGTTCGCAGCGGATCGCCGTCTCTTCTCCTAACCCACTCCTCGTTCTGTCCTCTCTCTCCCCCAACCCTTCTCCCTTCTCTCTGTCGTTCCTGGTTCTCCGCTGGTCTCTCTCTCCTTCCCACCCTCTCTCCTCTCACCTCCCCCCTTCCCCAGCCTCTCTCTCCCGGCACGCGCCGCTTT